AGTAAAATTTACTTAAATGACAGTCAGGTGTCAAGAATTGTATTTAGTTTAACAATCATGTTTTCAGTTTGAATTAAACATTTAATAAAGGATCTTTATAGTTTAACTTAAATAGTTTAGTGAGTTCTTTTACGTTACTTCATGGTATAGTATTTCATATTTTTAATTCTACATGAATTATTGTTCGTTGACCTATTGATATTTCAAATGGTTTTATGTGAGTCTGAATTAATCCCACTATCATAGTTATGATTTTTTTTTTATATTTGAAAACATATTGCTATCTGTATATCTTGATTATTTTATCTTTATCATATATATATAATTGCTCACTAAGTACCTATTTATTTCATAAATATTTAATATGTCAATGACTAAATTCACTTAACTGAATTTTAATGCTATTAAACACTTTCTGAGCAACACGGAATTCTAAACGTGCTTAGGATAAAAAATAAACTTGTGTCAGAAAACATCGACTGATAAACATAATGTGACAATCTTATTGTTGTAGACATTGTTAAAGATTATTAACTTTGAAATTCACATATTCAAATACAACATGTTTTAATACGCTTTTATTTTATTGTGGACTTTGTACATATGTGACATTTGGTTTTATCACATGTTTCGTAAGTTGTACACTTTTGCATCTACCAACTTGCATGGAGTATCTCTTTAACTGAAATATATCACATAAAAGTATTATTCTTCCATTTTTGATCGATAGATAGAAATTAAATGTTAAAGGTGTACTTTTTGTCAGGTAAAATGTTTTCCTTCATACAAATACAAAGGTTTTTCTATTTAACTTTACTTATAAGGTTATATCATCTTGGTTCCGCAATAAATTTATTTCCTCAGTTTGTATACTATCTATAAAACTTAACCAAGCTAACAAAACATCCTTTCAAAAGATATCATGAATATGTTTTCCAATATTCCATACTTTTATATAACTCTATTATATTATATATCTTATATCTCAATTTGTACTTCCAGTGTGTATTGAATACTGTTTATCATTTCTTGGTTTTTGTTAATTAATTATTCACATGAGAGTAGATATCGTTTTCATAACCTTGAAAAAGGATTTTTTCTGCATATTTTATCTGGTTTGACATCGCGAATTAATTTTTACTAATTTCTACCAATATCCTTAATATTCAATAAAACGGACTTGGTATACTTCCCATTAAAATATCTTTTATAGTTTTTACTTTGTAGAACAGTAATTCTACCAGTTGCAGTTGATTTGTGCTTATTCCCATTATTCATGACTGTCAATATTTCTCTAATTTTCAGGATTGGCCATATTTTCTCCAGTCCCAGAAAATCTAACATATTTTTATTTTATTTTAGCAACTTAAAAATGTTGTAGAAATCAATTTGGAAAAACATGATTATATAAAGAAATGACATTTAATAAGCTAAAGGTAGATTTGATTATTTTAAAGTTAAGGATTGAGATTACTAACCGGAAATACTGAATAACACTTATAAAATTAAAAAGAATAACTAATCAAAATACTCTAGCACGAGTTACAACTTGACCAACAGAACACACATGCATTGAAACTAAGATTAAAAGCAACACCAGCGGCTTGTAGTTCACATATTCTCAACTCTTAGTTACCAAATAATTATGCTAGGACTGGTGATAATAATTCATAAGCCTATGCAAATAATGGAAGTTGCGCAGTTGGACTGGAGGAATTGAAAACAATAAATACTCAAAAAGTAAAACATGACAAACTGCAAGAATGTTTTGTTTCGGAGTTATTTCATTTTATTTAATATTGATTTACGGAAGGGCATTTATGATATTGGATACTCAACAAAACAAGCTTTATTTTGACATATATGAGCAACAATTTATGATAAAAACCAGCTATACTCCATAAAAGTCCAATAAATTCAAAAACATCCGGAAAGATAGATTTTTTAAAGTCGGCTTTCTTTCAATCCTTTTAATTTTAGTATCGTAATTTATATTATTAATGAATGTTAAATCTGTTGAAGATTAAAAAAAGTCCTATTTAACTAGCATTTAATATTTAAAATAATTGAACTGCATCTATCTACAACAACTCAAACAACATTACATATATTTAAGTTTAAATTTAAACTTGACAAGTTTCAAATACATTTAAAATCGTTGACTGAGAATTTTTCAATCCCACTACAAGATATGCATATTGAGAAACAGTGAAATTAATATTTCTTATTTTTAATTCTTGTTGTATATTCAAATAATGTTTTATAATAATTACAAACATATCAACAGCTAAAATGAATAAATAAGTGGAAGGGGGATCTCCATGTCCACAGTCTGTTTTATCTTCGAATATATAATTAAAAAGCCATTTTGAGAGATACATTCAATTCTATATTATTATAAAAACAAGCATCTATAAAATCATCTAAACCTTTCGAAGAAAACGTATCAAAAGGTGTTTTCCTTCAAAATCTAACAGAAGTACTAGTCCTGGTATATTTCTACTTCGTTAAACTTATAGTGTTAAATATAATTCTAATAAAAGACATAAACATACAGATATGATTATGATGCCTGTTAAGCCATTTGACGAAAAGTTCATAACAAAATTATGAAACTGAAAAAAAAAATGTTGAATTTATTAATCTATATGTCCGGTGACGATATTTCACCCATGCACAATTTTTCAGTTATCTGCTTGTAATGGTTGCAATACAAGCAGCCTCATCAAAAACTAATTCCCTATACCTTAAATATACAAATCGTTTAATATTTGTATTTACATATAACTGAAAGAAAAATGAATTAAAAATTGAAGTTGGTATCGTATATATAGATAGATAAGCCGTTTATTGAAAGTAATCAATCCAGTTTTACAATATTGGCACAAAATCAATATCATTGAATAATTTAGTGCAAAATATACACTACCTCTCACTATAGTATTAAACCGTTAACACACTACATTCCAATTTTAGAAAAAAAATTTAGTACATCATTAATGCTAAAATCTAGCTTTAACTTAATAAATAACAAGCTGAATATAGTTAAGTCACTTACTTTTCTATTGATTTTCTTGTAATGTGTAAATATTTGTATAGGTTGCTCTCCTACTTACTTGATACATACATCTTTGAAATTGCTATTTCATTAAAATTTCGCAACCAAAGATATCATGCATAATATGATTTACAGCTTAGCTTATTGTTTCTTTATACTTCCATACAGGCAAACAAAAGAAAATAGTTGCAGTTTTCCACGTGGCTTCTAGTGCCAAACTAAATTAGCCCTGCCTTGAAACAACAGGTCTATTAATGCAATGATGATGATTTCAGTAAAACCGATACTTCCGCTCCAAATCTATTAGAAGGATGAAGAAAGCTAAGTATACAACTAAAGGTGATACTACTTTTTACAACTATTCACCGAATAAAGATAGAGAAAAAATTGTTGAGGCTTCCTTTATTTCCCAATAAAATTTACTTTTGTTCAAAGAAGTAGGGAAAAAAGCTAATACCTAAACTTTGTTACGAATTACATGATGTTCTAAAGCTTTTAATTTATAAAATGTTCGAAAACTATTGATGTATATAAGAAAAAAGAACACATTATATTAACTTTGTTCAATACTAAACGCAATGGATGACAATAATTTATCTATGCACAACTACGACAAGTTCGTTTCTGGAAAGGAAACTGTCACGTGTAAAGAAACCCTACATTCTAGGCTATGGTTAAATATTTTTACATAAGGAAACCCATTAAAAACCAATGTTTTTATAAGATGAGTTTATAAAACTAATACTTCAAATGTGTGTGCCTTTTCACTTAATATTCGATATTTATAAATATATTCAATCGAATTGAATATGTATGGAATAATAAAAACATTCTAGCGTTTCTGATGCTTTCTTCACGTAGTTGATAATCTTATTATTTTTCATAAATTTTAAGACGTGTTCTATTCAGCACGAAACTAACCTTATTAATTTATTTACTGGCCATTCCAAGTCGATATTTAACAAACAGATAAAATATGATGCAAAAATATCATGTTGTCTCTACTACTTTATCGCAAATGCTACAATTTTGAAGTTTCAAAACATACGACTAATATATATACAACAAACTGGAGAGTGTATTGGTATGTTAAAATTATGGATTTTATAAGGTAACGTATTTACAAATCAAATGTCTTACAGCAAACACTAAGTTTATACATAGCAGTCTATATTTGAAGCAACACTTTTCACACAAAAAACTATTGGTAGGTCATGTTACCCTCATGAAATGAGACTTTATCTCAACTGTCTGTACTAACGTTTCATAAACTCAGTGTGTGAAAAGTTTCCTGCAAAGAAGCAAGCGACTATTTATTGTTTCTTACGGCAATACCCGTTTGCTGTGCCGGAAAGCCAAGATCGAGGCGCCTTCCCAACATGGCGCCAACCTTTTCAATCGATTTCCATGCACTCGCAAAACATGACATATTTAACTTTATGTTTCAACTCCTTTCACAATAGAAACACGAGTATAAACTAGGTAAAATATATCGCTTACTTATTTGCCACCTTATTTATAAGACCATTAGGTGAATTGTATTTCTTTTTAATGAGGTTTTATTATTATTATTATACACATGGAGTAAAATATCCAAATCGCACGACTATACAAAGATGGCAGGTGTAATTTATTAATGCGAGTGTTACTTCTAGACAACTTTTTTTCAATTTAATAAATGCTGTGAAAGTAATGTTATGCAAAACTAAACCGTTATTTTGTCGGGTGAAATATATTTTCTGTGTATTATGCTTATCGAGACGAGCTTCCACTGGCATGTTCGATTCTCCTAGCTCGACCACACCCTAACTATAGGCCGCACCCAAGAACTCGTTTTATTTGATTGACTAATAGTCTGCTATTAGGCTTAGTAAGTTTTACTCTTAGTGTATGACAATATACAATATTCTATTGAAAAAGAGAAAAAAATATTGTAGCTTACTTCATTTGTTTTACGATCGTGCTCTTCCCCGATTCTCCAGCACCTGAAAAGAAAAGAAAATAAAGAAAAGCGTGTAAAGACATGGAAACCCATATATCGATCAGCAGAGTTGACTTGCATGTCAAGTTCATTTGTTTATACTATGTATGCAGATGTTCACCACGATCGAGAAAATAACATTTTTGGACAGAAGAAAAAAGTTTATAATATCTAAGTGTCAATGTAAGCGATATTAACATGCAGAACTATTTTAATGTATTGCACGATTTTTTTTTTATATACAAAAATACCTTTAACAACTTTGACTATTGTCAATGAAAATATTATACAGAGGAAAAGTTTTACCTAAAAGCAGTAATTTTATATCCTTAGCAGCTTGCATTCCATCTTCTTTAAGATTTTTTTCTATTTGTCTACTACGGGCCATCGCTGCCCGCTCCTCGGCACTCATAGCACACCCCATGGCGGCGGCAGCAGTCCGCGGCTCTGGGCTCCTTTAGAGCGGCTTCCCCTCACACACTGCTTAACTGGTTCCTCCTATGAACACCACTCGAAGTCACCACTGGCAGCCACTTCCTTACCAAAAAATCCTCACAAAATAAGATCCACGGTTATCCTTTGCGTACAAACCAAGTTTTTCTTTCTCCGCCAGTGGTAACAGCACAGCAAAAAGGCCCACAGTCGCTGGAAAGGAATCCGCTACGATATGATAATGAAAAGAAATTGCGAATGGTGGTAACCAATCACAAACTAGTACGGCTTTCCCATTTTACGGTTGCCATGGTTTCGCATCATGAGGCTCGGCAGGGAACATGACGTCAAGAAACCGTCACCAGATGCTCAGTAACGTTAAAATAGTTTTAACCGAATTTTCACATACGAAGTTATGCACCAGTCAGAAAAACTATTACGGAATTAAGCTCGGTACAATAACAAATTATATATTAGTGTGCAGGTTTTAGCGCTTTACTATCGCCGTTAAAGAAGTTGGTTTTACAAAAATAAAGCTTCATTCTGCGAAAATTAACCCATGACACACCAGATATTGGGCAACCGATATTTGTAACCAGCGTTTGCACGTAGCTTTTATAGGCAGCACGCGCAAGCGTTTAAAGCAATGGGCTCCACCTACAACAAAATTTCGAGATAAATCACTCTTACTTATTAACAGTTCACAGCTCAAGTTTGAAACTGTCAATGTGATCATTTCTTTATTTTGCAAGCATAAAATGGGGTGCAGTGTATACCCTCTTATCTTTTAATAACTTTGTAATTAATTATTTCATAATTTTTCACGTTATACAATCACGTTTGATTTGACAAGTCTTCATTGGAAAATGTTTAACAAGTTAAATGTGATATAAAACAAATTAGTCATAAAAAGCCTTTTAATTTGAAGTCGTTTTTGTTGTTGTTTTCAATTCGAATATTCTTCGCTATTGAATAGCGCAATAAAATTTAGATTGGTAAATTTTATTTCTTGTAAACATAAAGCTGCACAATAAGCCACAGTTGAACCACTGTAGGACATAACTTGGAAATAAAACTGATGTTGCTTTAACGTGAAAGAGAACTCTTAAAGACATGCGTTCCCTGTACATTCGAATTCGTAACTTCAAACATTTAAAATATGTATATATATATATAAAAAACAAAAAAAATCGGTGTCTTTTTCTGTTTGTCCGTTATCTATCTACTCCTAGATCGCTATGCCAATCTCAACCACAGTTTGTGAGACGATAGTTTGGAACAAGTGGCATATTATTGGAGGTTCATAATCCTCTCCAACCCCCAACCCTTATTATTGCTGTTATTGAGCATTTATTATCTTTGACGTAAGTAACGTTAACTATATTCATAGATGGCGCCACGTCCTTGTACCAAAAACATTACTAACATTTTCTATAAAACAACATTCAGGACACAGAAGCCTATTATATATATATATATATATCGTTTCTTGAGTTATATCCACTTCTTACTTTGACCCGTGGCCTCTCAACTTTGGCTCATAACACACTTCTGCGATCAATGACCGTCAATTAATTAATAACCTGAAACACTGTGGAATGGCATTAAGAACTGGGTGTTGAAAGCGGATAACAGAAAGTACCCCTACATTGGCCACTACGTCTTAATATAAAGTCACCCTGACCATTGCACAGTATATACCATGTAATAAGTATATACATAATGAGTTTTAAAGCTTATACAAAACTTTTGGTGGAGTTATAATGAATATTGTAATAATGTTCTGTTATAAATAAACTGTGTGAAAATTAGGATTTTTGTGTTATTTATCATAGCATCCACTTCCACATTACATTAAGTTCATAACCCGGACAAAGGACGGGTACTTCAGCTTGTATTTAAAAAATTATAATGTTGAAAACTCCCATTATTATATTTATATATAATATGTGATCAAAAATACAAATACTTGAGAGAGTATTTTGATTTGATCTTTTAATATAAAAATAAAAGCGATAAACACAATAAAAATTAAAGATTCGATTAATTACTTTGAGTTTGGTGATTATATGTCTGTGCTATTTACATATTTTAAACTAAATAAATAGATTTAATCTCAAATAAATATCCAACAATAATTCAAAAATCTTAAAAGTAAAATTTTTTATCTGCAACTACGAAATGAAAATCTTGAGAACTTTGGAACTCTTAAATAACAAAAATGAGAGAAAAAATCATCAAACACTTGAGACTTAAATGTGTTTTTTTTTTTATTAAATATAAATACAAAACTTATAAAATACCAATTTTTATCATTTTGAATAGTTGATCACTGTTTTCTAACAAAAATACGACATATTGATTTATTTATGAACTATCGCAAGATATTTTGTGGAAATGTTTACCAACTATAAATATCAAATTAGATAGTGTGGGCATTTTTAGACTTCTAAGAGGAAAGAAACAGAAAAAGTATAGTTTAAAACAATACAATTATATGGGTTAACAAATGAGTAATCACTTAAAATGGGGAAGTCTGAAGATCATTAAAAAATAAGAATTATTATTGACAAATATCTAAATGTTTATTGGTGAAATGAATTAGCGTACACTAATAAGATTATCCATTAACTCTATTTTTCATCCCTCAAAAAAAAACAATAATTGGTGACAGCTTAGCAGTATTGGGAGACAACTGACCCAATATTCAACATTATATTAAAAAAACTAGCTTGGTGAAAGGAATCTACGTAGAAGTGTAAATCGAATTTAAAAAATTAAAAACATAAATAAAAAGCTAACAAGTTCATCATGGTTGTATTTTGGAAGTTGGAATTTGCGTATACTTCATCAAAACTGAAAAAAAAAAATTTCATGAAATATGATAACAGCTATTGGGAGCAAGTAATCAAGCGATAGATGCAAATAGCAATTTGACGCCAAAATAACTTCAGAATTAATCTTCGTAGATATTCCAATTAAAGCCGAATATATCACCTTGAATTTGTACAATAATCCGCATAGGCTAATCCGTCTATGTGGGTGGCTAAAGCAGTTATACGTTGTCAATGGTTTCACATATGAAAGAACTATTGCTGTACTTGTAGATAAGGACTAATGAGTTGTTTAGGTCAAATTATGTATTTTTTTCATTTTCAATGGTTAAATTTAGTAATAGGGCAAATTTTAACGAAGAATATAAAGCTTTGTTGTCCGTCGTATTTACATCCTGTATGCTCTTGTAACCAGAAAGTTTAACATGTATCTCTAAATACAAATGCTCATTGTAGCTTAGTGGTGCTGCTGTGGCTTTGTTTATGTTATTTTCCGCAGGCAAGCTTTTGCTGTTAATTACCCGTACTGTGTGTGTTTTTCTTATGGCGAAGTCACATCGGGCTATCTATTGTGTCCAACGAGGGGAATCGAATCCCTAATTTTAGCGTTGTAAATACGAAGACTTGCCGCTATCCTACCAGGGAACTCCTGTACTGTGATTCACATTTGGAATACTGAATTTATAAATGTTTTGATATAGTTTTTCTTGCAATATTTACTGTTTCTTAAAATCTTTATTGTTATAGATGATGTAGAAATACTGCATTTTAGAACAATAATAATGTGTCAAAAATTGTCGTGTAAAATATCGTAAAAGAGGCACTTTCGTAACTGGAATTTTCGTCTATCTGGCATTACTCAGGTCCAGGAGATGTCACATAATAATGCTTTTACTGTATAACTGCTTAACCTCTAGGCTTCGACAAATAGCGAAGTATCAAACAGCAATAAAATACTATGTTGTTTTGTGTATGCTTTTGAATAAAGGTAATTATTTGTCGCAAACCTGGCCAACAGATTGGGTTATATAATTTCTTGATCTATAGTGTTTAGACTATATAAAACATTTTGTAGAGTGAAGGAAATATAAATAATAAATTATAAAACAGACTCATGAAGAGATATGGTTGGAGTACGATTCGTGAGGAAATCATAACGGATTCAAACAGAACTAAAATTAATCTAGGTTTCTGTTGTGGTATTCAAATACACTGATATCCAACGGATAGGCCCAGTAGGGAAATACATACAACAGTGATGGTATATAGTCTGCAACAGCATTAGCACTGACCATCAGTCAATGGAATGATTGGGCTATGGCAGGAAAAGCATGAGAATTGCAGAAAATTCGTTTGTTTTAGCGCAAAGCTACACAATAAGCTACCCATGCTCTTTCCATCATGGGGAATAGAACTACAGACTTTAACGTTGTAAGTATGTAAAATTACTGCTGGTCCACTGTGAAGTGACTGTTAAATGGAGTGCATAAAATAAAACTTGCTTAATTTACAAATAAATAAAAATGCGAAAGAGACCTCCATATCATCGAGAAAAATACCACAAGTAGATAGGAAGGAAAAATTTTAGTGCTATGAGAACAGGATTTATATATGTAGATATTTCAATGAAACATTCTGGTATATATATATATGTATATACTAGCAGAGACCCCCAAAACATTTGCGGCCAAATTAGTATCTGTATTGCAACAGTACTTTTTTAAATACAGGATTTATAGAGTAATACAAAAGAATTCTAATAGCAGACACTGAATATTATTCTACGACCAAACGTTAGACCTTTTTAAAAACTTTGATAAGCTTTTAATATGTTGTATAACATGTCTACTAAAGTATATTTACATCCTTTCTGGCGTAACTCGACAATTTAACAAAGATATGTTTTCAAATTGTGAAAAAAGTGCAATTTTTTGTACCTTTTAGTCTAAATATATCTTTAATTTTCGATCAATCGTAGACTACTCGCTTCTAATTGACAGGAAGCCAAACTACTTAAATTAAGTAATATGTTGATATGACATCGGTGCGTGAGCTAGAGACAAGATACACACTGTGTTTTATAGTATTAAATTTGTATGTATGTGTATGTAAATTCACATAGCTATTATTATGTTTTCCCTTTGTTCAAGTTCGTTTTAAAGTGTTATTTGTAAATGTTCTATTTCTTTTAATATCTTTTGTGTTATTACTACATTTTTGTATAAAAGGTATATTTTATTGAGTTGTATTTGGATTTTATTACTAGTGATTTCTTTTAAAATCATTGTTTTGAATTGTTTTTTTTTGTTTTATAGAGGAATTTCACTGGTTTAAAATAGTTTTTTAGTGTAAAGGCTTTTTCTTATTTTAATTTTTATGTCATCAATATTAAGTTTTTTTGTATGTAGTTAAAAGATTTTATCTTGTGATTAAGTGTAATTCATTGTTTTGTTGTCCGCGTGTCAAATATGTGTTATTAGGAACAATGGAAACTCAATGTATTCCTAGACCATGTCAAGAGTTTCAAGGCTATTGATTTTTAAAGTTAAATTTAGTTGTTGGCTTGAGGACAAGCCTGAAGCGAAGAAGAGAGGAAAAGGCATATCATAAGATTTCTACCTCCTTTAGTTTATAGGAATTTTATTAAGACATTCTTCGTTTATTTACCGTGTATGCAGTTTTAGCACAAACGTAGTCTAGAAACTCATTGAGATTGCATTGTTCTGGTTGCTTTTTTCTTATAATAGATATCTATTCTGCCCCAGTAAATATTG